AGGCTCAGATGGATTCTTCACCAACAGCTTCACCTTAAACTTCTTACATGTTTACGAATCTGCAAACTTTCTGAGTATTTCCACGATGTTCGATGTGGTTTTCAGGTTTTTCAGCCTCCTGTACATTCAGGGTCACACACACCAGAACCGCAGACTGAAGCTTCCTCCACTGGAACCAGACTTGTGGAGGTCCTGCAGTGGTTCTGAGTGAAGACGTGTACAGCTGATCTCTGAGCTGTTTAATAGGAGTTAAGTGGAACATAGCGGGCTGACAGTGATGGCGGGTGTGGTCCTCGGTGTCAGTGAGTGTGTGTTGTTGAGTAACACACCACAAAGCCCATCAGTCTGTGTGAAAGTTAATAACCGCCCAGACGCAGGAAAACATTCGTCACCGCCGATGCCAGCGTGTTGGAGGGAAAAACAAGCGTCCTGTTTCCACAAACATCAGCTGTCAGTCCGCCGGCCGGCCGGTGGAAACCGGCTGAAAGGAAGACAGTGTTTTGGTTGGAAACTGCCGTCCCAGTGTTTCCCTGATACACAAATGCGATTGGGAATTTGAGGAATTTGCAGAGGGGAATGTTATTCCAGCGTCAGGAAGAGGACGGGCCTGACACAACACAGGCAGCTGCTGCAGATAAAACCGTTGAATGAGGAGGAACGCTCGGCAGCAGCGTCACATCATTGTGCGGCTGCGGCCTCGCCGTGTTTTCAGGGACATATTTTTCTCCTGAGAGCGTCCGAATGACAGCCGGCCGCATAATGACGGCCTGCCGCTCTGCTAAAAACACCAGCGAGCGCCACATCAACACTCGCTGCACTCAGAATAGCACTTTGCAACCGCATAAACAATTCTTTTGCAACTCAGAACAGAGCCTCAGTGTCACACAAGCTGAAGAACAACCAGAGCCTGAAGGAAAAGCAGCAACAAACACACTCCATGCATTTAAAGCTTCCCATAGAGAGAATTGTGCTGTTGAACATTTATGGAACTGCCTCAGTCACATGTAGATTAAAATGATAAGTCTTGTAAAATACTCTTTATACAGTAAAGTATTGAAACAGTGCAGCTGGAATGAGAGAATCAAACATTCATCAAAGTGTTTCTGCTGCTTCCTGTTCAGTTCTTCTCTTCTTTTCTATTTTTAGTTGATTTATCAAAATAAATAAACAGTCGGGAGATGAATCCATCATGAAAATAACGTTCTCATGTGAACAGCTGTGAGCTTCATCTGAACCAACATCAGCAGTGAAGCTGTGATTCTACATCAGTGTGATGAATGAAAAATGAAATGAAATGAAAAATACTTTATTTATCCCAGAAGGGAAATTCAATAATGTAATAATAATAATAATCAGTGTGACACTCTCTATGGTCACGGAGCAGCTTCTAGGAAACTGATTCAGCAACAACATGGTCGGTCATTTACTTACTTATATTTTTGTGTATTTCAACACATGACATTTAAATTCTAAAAGCAAAAACAACACATTGAAGTGAGATAAAGTTGTTTCATCCTGTTTGTTTTTTGTCTTTCTACCAAACTCAGTTTAAAGTCTCAGCGCTAGGATCTGAGTTTTGATGTGAACCTGATGCAGAAACGTGACTTTAAATGACTCACAGTTTAAAGTTGATGTGATTTTTACCGTTATGTCAACATGAGGCATCAAAACAACGATTTCAGCTTCACTTAAATCAAATAAAAGGTCAATTAAAGTATGTTTCAGGGATGAGTTTGTGCCTGTTGAACATGTCAGACACAACAGGGAGCCAGAGTTTTACACTCAGAAACATTGCTGATGAATATTTCTGGTTCAAATGGTTTTCCCAAACAACAACAACAACAACAACAACAACAACAACAACAACAACAACAACAACAACAACAACAACAACAACAACAGCTTTGAACCACAGAGATGCAGATCACCTTCACTGCTCTTTAACTGGTTCATCTAGATCGGTTTCAGACGTGGAGCAGGAGCAGGTCTCTGGAGTTACATTTCAGCCTGTGGAGTAAAAGTACTCAGTTACTTTCTGAGCACCTGCTGTTCTGCTCCACAAGCTGCTCTGCTGAGCTCGTCTCACTTCCCTCAGATTAAAACACAAAGAGTTCAATTAAGCAGCGAGCTCCTGCAGCATCGGCCGGCCGCCCAGAGCAGCCGCCGAGCTATTTCCTGCTCCACCCTGCAGGACAGAGAACAGAGTCAGAGCCGGGCAGCAGCAGAAACATCACCTCAGTCTGCTGGTTCAGAGCAGCACAGACACCAGAGCAGGTCCAGGACTCCTCAGAGTGGAGCTCTGCTGCTGGTTTCCTCCCACTGACAGGATCTCAGAGCTGCTTCTCTTCAGTCTGCTGCCAACAACAGCTCAAGGATGGGAGTTGATCTGACAGCTGGCTGACGAACCGACTCCACGCTGGGATCTGGACTCCTTGTTTTCCAGCTGCTGCTCCGGCGGAGGCGCTCTGGTCCAGGAGGTGAGTGATGTCCTGACTTTATGTTAGAATATTTATTCATGTTCCTGGAATCATGACATGAAGGAGCTTTGTGGAGGGAAACACTCACATCTTCACATTTATGTTTCTAAGAGCATCTTCTCCAAACACAAAGCAGCAGCTCTGCTGCCCGGCAATAAACACGCCAACAAACCAGTTTATTAGTTGGCTCTGAACTTTCCTTACAATACCGCAGATCATAAAAGTGTTTGTTAGAGCCAGAGCCTGTCTGAAACCATGAACACTGAATCCCAGCCTGTCACATGTGTTTCCCTCCTTTCTCCAGCGCTAACGTCTGCTGACAGCAGCTTCCCCTCCGAGACTTTGCTGGACTACTGTACAATAACACGTCTTATTTTCAGCAGTTTCAGGTTTCATCTTTTGACTTAAATAGGATTATCTAAGCAGGAAGTGTGGGAGGGTTGAGCGGGAGGGCATTTATGGGCTTCACATAAACAGCCACAGCTGCCGGGCTTCGCTGCTGTGTAGCTCAGTCCACCGGTTATTGGACCCGTCTGGAACCGTTAGGTGTTAAATCTGTCTGACCGAGTCTGCGGCCGCATAAAATGGACATTTGTCTGCCTCTGGGATCTGTGTTGTGCTTCCAGCACGGCCAGACTTCACCACAAAGTGCCCGTCGGGGAAGCTGTGCAGGATGACATGTATTTATATGTACGGCTCATTGTGTGAGTGAGAAAACAGACTGCAGCGTGACTCTACGGGCTTTTATTGTCGTCTGTAATTAAGGCCTAAAAATGTTATTTTCTCTAAAACAAACGAGGAAACTTGCAGACGAAGGAGACGCTTTGTTTCCAGACTTTTCCAGAAATAGTGTTTGGATCGAACATTTAATGCTGCAGTTAAACAAACTTGCTTTTGTTGGAAAAACAACCAAACTATAGAAAGTCCAGCATCAAGGTTCTGCTGAACTGCTGGACTTTTACTTCATGAAAATCTCTTGATAGTTCATTCAAGTAAATCTGATTATTTTCTGTCTCCCCATGAGTCACATAAAACACACGTCTGACCACTTTCTAAATACGAAGCTAGCAATAAAGCTACATAGCTAGCTAACTAGCAGAGAGCAGCTAACTTGGTTTGGTCCAGAGACAACAAATTCATCTCTGAAACTCAACACGTAACATGTTTTTAAAAAAATTTATTTTGTACAAAAACTGACACACATTTAGTATTTTACTTTGCTACCACGTTCTCCAAGAAATAATCCGGTTCATAACAAACGACAACTTGTTATTTTGAAACTTAGATGTTTTACTTAGATTAAACAAATGAAATATAAAAAGATGTCTGGCGGTGATTTTTCATGGTGCCAGTTGGGGGATTTTGTTGTAGTTGGTTTTGATTTTTTCATGCTAGCCTACTTTTAATGTCCTCATGCTAATCCATGTTTTGTGCTAGAAAAGGTTTTGAGCCGTTATGCTAACCAATTTCCAGTTTTTATGGTAACCTAAGTTTTAAGTCGTTCTGCTAATCTAAGATTTGAGTCTTTATGCTAACCAATTTCTAATTTTTGTGCTAATTTACATTTCAAGTTGTTATGCTAATCATGCTAAGTTTTGAGTCTTGATGCTAATCTAAGTTTTAAGTCTTTATGCTAATCAATTCCCAGTTTTTATGTTAATCCACGTTTCGAGTTTTTATGCTACCCTAAGTTTAGAATCATTATGCTAACCAAAATTTTAAGTCTTAATGCTAATCCAAACTTATTTTGCTAACCTAAGTTTTGAGTCTTTATGCTAATCTAAGTTTAAAGTCTTTATGCTAACCTAGGTTTTGACTCCTTATGCTAACCTAAGCTGTAATGCTAGCCTAAGTCTCAAGACTTTATGCTAACCTTTCAGTTTTCTATTTTAACTTATGTTTAAAGTATTTTAAGTAGCCTAAGTTTCAGGTCTTTATGCTAAGCTACCTCATCCTTCCTGTTTAGTATACCGACATGAGAGTGGTTTCAATTTTCTGATATATTTCACAACAAGACAACAAATGTTTTACAAAATGTATTGATATTTTTTTCAAGGACTCAGAGGAAAAAAGGTGAACTCTAGAGTGTGATAGATTCTGAATGAAGCCTGAGAGTTAGTGGGTATAAAGGCAGCAGTAAAGACCAGCCTTTAATTAGCTAAAACAAACGATGTTTGACTTGAGCAGAACTGAAAACTAAATTGCCCACTTATGTAGTTAAGGTCTGGGGGCAGCAAATTGAGGGTGCCGATGGAGTCGGGCCTCTTCTTCTTTGGTTAAATGCTGAACAGAAGGCAGACCCACCGGTTCCCATGAGTCAGTCGACCCCGAGTCACCCACCAGAGCAGCCGCCACTGTAATTTGCCCTAAAACAAATAGAAAGAAAGCCTCTGAGAGCAGTGCGGGTCTGCCAAGAGTCACCGGGATAAGGATCAGGGTGGGAGGCCGACCCGAGCCCCCCGGCAGCAGTGATTGGAGCTGGGCACGATTTGGCCGTCCCCGGAGAGAACCAGCAGAAAGAACAACACTGGGCTCCCACGCACATTGTTGTTGTAATGACGGGGAATGTGAGGGGGTGAAAATATCAGTCATCATGTTTACCTCCAGATTTACTGTAACCGTGGGACCATCTGTGACTCGGCTCAGACCAAATCCTCCCACTGAGGCTCAGCCCGACCCGCTAGCTCGCTTAAAGGCTCAGTTCACCCAAATAATGCAGAAATATGGTCGTTTTTCAAGCCATACAAACACTAAAATCTATAAAATCTGATCCTCACCAAGAGCTTTTCTTTTTATGTCGTTAGAGTCAGTAAAGGAAGAGTTAAAATATTTGCTTGCTGTTCGCTGAAGTTAGCATTAAGACTCAATATTTATGTTAGCATACGGACTTGATATTTCAATTAGCACAAAGACTTGAAACTTAGGTTAGCATAAAAACATGAAACGTAGGTTAGCATAAAGATTCAGAATGTAGAGTTAGCATAAAAACACAAACTTAGCATAAAAGCCTAAAACTTGAAAAAGAAAACGATACCACTGTTATGTCTGTGTACTAAATATGAAGGTAGAAGCATCTTTGGTTAGCATAGAGATAGAAAACTTTGATTAGCTGGAAGACTCGAAGGTTAGCATAAAGACTTGACACTTAGGTTAAAACGTAAATGGGAAAGTTAGCATACGGTCTTGAAACTTAGATTAGCATAAAGACTCGAAATTTGGGTTACTATAAAGACTCTAAACTTCGATTAGCATAAAGACTTGAAACGTAGGTTAGCATTAAAACTTAAAACATGGGTTAGAATAAAGTTTCAAGGTTAGGTTAGCATTAAGACCTCACACTCAGACTTGACACCTAAAATAGCATAAAGACTTAGAACTTATTTTAGCATAAAGACTTAGAACTTAAGTTAGCATAAAAACATGAACGTGGGCTAGCATAAAGACTCAGTACGCAGAGTTTGCACAAAAACACAAAAAAGTGATACCCCTCTTATGCCTGTATGCTAAACATAAAGGAAGAAGCACCTTAGGTTCGCTTAAAGACATGAAACTTGGATTGGCGTAAAGACTCGAAGGTTAGCATAAATATTTGACACTTAGGTTAAAATGTAAACTGACAGGTTAGCATACAGTCTTGAAACTTAGATTGGCATAAAGACTCAAAACTTACGTTATTATGCAGCTCTTTAAACTTGAAGTTGTATAAAGATGTGAAACGTAGGTTAGCATTAAAACTTAAAACATGGGTTAGACTAAAGCTTCAAGCTTAGGTTAGCATAAAGACTTAAAAGCTAGGTTAGCATAAAGACTCAAATCTTAGGTTCCCATAAAGTATCAAAACTTAAGTTAGCATTAAAACTAAAAAGCTAGGTTAGCATCAGCACTTAAGTCTTTTGCTAACTAAATTTCAAGTCTTTATGCTGAACTCATCTGTTTCATGTTTTTAGGCTAACCAATGTTTTAAGTACTAATGCTAACCTAACCTGTCTTAACAATCAAAACAGACATTTGGGGGTTTCCTGACGTTTCCTGCTACGCTAACACCAAAACCTAGAGAAATGTGTCGACATCATCTGGATGGATTGGCATCAACATTAGCGCTAACAGTCATGGTTCCCAGAGGACGAGTTCTACAGAATTTAGTGACTCTCCCATGTGAACCACCCTCGGCTTGACATAAACGTGTGGTTTTGTTAAGAAGTCTTGACAACTAGTGGATGGCTCGCATGAAGATTTGTACAAACATCCACGGTCCCCCCAGGATGGATTCATTTCATCACCTTTGTTCGTTTCCTTACTTTAAGGTTTCACAGTCCAGAACTTTAGTTCACGGTCAGACACCCAGTTCAGCCTCATCTGGACTTTAAGTGAAGTTAAATGAACAAATGGCAGCATTAAATTCTGATGCTGAGCTTCATACCTGCTGAACATCAGCGTGTTCAGACTGTCTGTTGTTGCTCTTGTACAGGAAGTGAACACAACTGAGTGAATTATGGACAAAACTGTAGATATTTAGTGTAAACTGCTGACTCAGCCCTGATAACAGACGTCAACATTCATGTTTTTCTCAAAGATTTAATTGTTATTTCCTTGTCTTCTGAGAGGCTCCCGGGGCTGTTTTACCCCTCGACCATAATTAGCTTTAACTTTTTGCAGCTGGTTTGCTTCCTTAGCGAAGTGTACTGAAGGAGAACAGAGCTCTGGTATAAATACCAACTTTAGACTCTTGTTTATTCATATTTATGCACTAAACACTCAAAGCTTTCTTAGATTCCGTATCCAGTAAGATATTGAGACAATTTTTTATCCTCACTATATTTACAACTGCCTAATTATGAAAAGTTAAATCCTAAATAAGCCGTTAATAAGGTTAAATCTTAGGTTGCCAGGTAGTTTATGAAACATCCTTCTTGTGTTTGTATGTTTTGGGGTTTTTGTCACACGCTCCTGTAATGAAGACGTCTGTGCCAATAGATAGTTTGATCACTCAATTAACTAAAAAAGGCAAATTTGGACCAAAATCCACTTATTAACAAGATAAAAAAATACTTAGAAAGACAAAGTTGACTTTCTAAAATCTATATTTTGCTGCAGACATGAGGGAAATAATTCTAACTGCATTATTAAAGGCTTTTTAACAACCTGGCAACCCAGAAGTTGTTCTTATTATTGGCTTACATCTGCAGATTAAACACTACAGATGATCTTGATTGTTTTTATTATCCACTGATGTATGAGTGTGTTATTAGAAAGTGTTCTCATCATTATTAAAGAAGCGTTTCCACATCGATCATCATCTAAACACTCTGACTAATCAAACCCACGGCGCTGGACTGAGTTCTGGTGGACCGACCCGTTCGCTTCCTGCTGGCCTTCTGTTACATCAGCTACAGTTTCACGTGTGAATCTTTTTCTGTGGGAAGAAAACCTCGAAGCCGGAAAGGATCCCGGTCGGTCCCTGATGTCATAAATACAAGCTTCCCTATCGGGCCTCACGCTGACATCCTCACCTCCGGCCGAATGTAAAACACTTGTGAGGAACACAGTGTCCTCGTCTGCTGCCCTCTGACACCAGTTAGATCACAGGAAGGACGGGCGGCGCTCCCAGGAACTAATTATTTTCAGGCTTTTTGGATTTTTTGGGGGGGATGAGGGCAATCTCTAAAAGTTTGGTCCTTGGGATGCATGACGGGTCGGCCTGTGTGTGTTTGTCTGACAGGACTGGACCACGGTTCACAGATCTGACGGGCGATGGTAGATGTTTGAACCCACAGTGAACCAGGATGGAGCCTGTTAAAAGAGACATGGAGCTGCTCAGTAACAGCATGGCGACCTACGCTCACATCAAAGGTAAAAACCCAAGCTGTGGTTCCCAACATGAGGCTGAGAGACCCTCAGGGAGTCGTGAGATGAATCCACGGGGCCACAGGAGAATTCACAGTGTGGGAACTAAGACAGAAATAACTGTCGTTTTTCATCTCTATAGGCCTCTAAATCTATTAAAGGAAACATTCAACACAGCTAGATATGAAGACTGATAGTGTCTGTGCATAAATACACATTTGTAAACATGAGCAGACAGTTAGCTTAGCTTAGCATAGACTGCCCACAAAAGGAAAATTAAAACAATAAATAGTTTGTTTCATCTATATAAACACTAAAATCTATAAAAGGCAGCTGATCCTGACCAAGACGTTTCCTTTATATGTAACTAGAGTCACTGAAGGAATAGTTTGAATATTTTGCCAAGTATTTGTCTAAAAGCTTTTGCTGTTAGCTTAGGTTAGCAAGACTTAAAGTTGGTTTTCCTTAGAGTTGAAACTTAGGCGAGCTTCAAGACCTCGAAACTTAGGTTAGTATAAAGACTCACAACCTAAGTTAGCACAAAAAACAAAAAAATTAGGTTAGCATAAAAACACAAAACATCGGTTAGCATGGACACTCAAAGCTTAGATTAGCATAAGCATAATTAGCATTAGCAGAAATTTTAGGTAAACATAAAAACATAAATTTAGGTTAGCATAAAACCTTCAAACATCAGCATAAGTACTTAAAACATGCGATAGCATACAGACAAAAAACGTAAGTTAGCATGAACATTCAAAGCTTAGATTAGCATAGGACTCAAAACTTCTTTTAGCCTAAAGACTTAACACTCAGGTTAGCATAAAAACTAAAATTTTAGGTTAGCATGAAAACATGAACTTAGTTTAGCACAAAAACTCGAAACTATCATCAGCATAACGATTTAAAACTTACATTAGCATACAGACACAAAACGTAGCTTAGCATGAACACAAACTCTAGATTAGCGGAAGACTCAAAACTTCAGTTAGCCTGAAGACTTTGCAGAAAATCTTGAAACTTATCACTAAATATTTAACTTTGTTAAACCAAAAGACTTGATGCTTAGATTAGCATAAAGACTCATTACCTAAATTAGCATAAAAACCAAGAAATATAGGTTAGCATAAAAACACAAAACATTGGTTAGCATGAATGCTAAAAGTGTAGATTAGCATAAACAAAATTAGCATTTGAATAAATTTTAGGTAAACATGAAAAGATGAACTTAGGTTAGCATTAAAACTTTAAACATCAGCATAAATGAAAAGATGATGACTTATCACTAAGTGTTGAACTTTTCTAAGCCTAAAGACTTGATGCTTAGATTAGCATAAAGGTTTGAAACTGAGGTTAGCTTGAGGCTGAACACTTTCATAAAAACTTGGATTTTAGCTTAGCAACTTTGCCCCTTGTGGTGAAGTACAACCATAAAGTGACATAAAATGGAAATACTTCAGTAACGCTTTCACTTTGTACCAGATAAACTAACTTCTCCTACTTACTGTGCAGCAAACCCGGAGAGCTTCGCGCTCTACTTCATGATGGGCGTCTGCTTCGGCCTCTTCATGGCGCTCTGCCTCCTGGTGGCCGGAATCGCCTGCAGGACTCGCCGACACATCAGACCTCCTCCTTCCCCCGAGAGGAGGCAGCTGAAGGAGTCCAGCGAGGAAGAGGAGGAGGAGGAGGAGGATGAGGAGAGTGTTGCAGAGGAGGACGGGGTGGAGGTGGAGGTCCACAAAGCCACCGTCGGGCCTCTGAGCAGCAGCCAATCGAACGGCACTCTGAGGAGCGTGAACGTGTTTGCGTCGGCCGAGGAGCTGGAGAAGGCGAGGCGTCTGGAGGAGAGGGAGCGAATCGTCCGGGAGATCTGGAGGAACGGGCAGCCGGACATCCTGGTGACCGGAACCGGAACCATCGGACGGGTTCATTACCACTAACAGACACTGGGACTGGACCGGAACTGACTGTGAAGGGCAAAGTCGTGCACATCGCAAAGAAACGTGCTGCACCTTTAAAGTACGGAGGCACCAAGACGCCACGACCAAAATAAGACTGAATGAAAATACATTGTGGGGAAAAAAAGCTTTCTTTGAGCCTTTTATTTTGAAAAACTGCAGCAAACCTCCCGACAATGTGTCAGAATAATAAAACTGTGTATTCAGGTTAAACCTTTATATCATAATGAAACGTTTCTGTGTAAAAATAGGGTTGAAATAAAATGAAATACATTTAAATCTGTTCTGTCCTCCGTCACATGCAAATAATTTCTGTACGCTCCCTAAATAAATAAAAATATTATGAAATAATCGTGAGAATATCTACAGACAAAAACAGATCTTCATCAGATCCCCAGAACACGTTGAGAAGGGAAACCGACGTTAGCAATTAATCTAATTAAGTTTAAATATTCAAGTTAAGATGGCGTAAATTAAGTAAATAAGTTGAATATTAAGGATTAAAACCCCACAAAAAATGATAAAAGGAAGTCCACGAGTTCATACTGTTTTTGTTTTTTTT